TTGCCTCCATGCCACGCCGCATTGAAGCAGTCATTCATGCAAAAGGATTCCCGACCAAGTATTGAGTGCATAACTGAACATGATTATTTGAAGGTTGGCGTTTTTTGTATTAAAAACACTTGTCTTTCATTGGTGGGATGAAATATGCTAATTTTTTGGGACAGGCATTTTGGGTTTTCATGAGCTGTATGCCATAATCATCAGTATTAAAACAATTAAAGACCTGAAATATTTCAGTTGGTGTGCAATGAATCTGAAATATATGAAAGTTTCATTTTTATCATTACATTATGGAAAATAATGACCTTTATCACAATATGCTAATCTTTTGAGAAGGACCTGTATATATATATATATACACACATATATTTATACATATATACACACACACATATATATATACACACACACACACACACACTCGAGCAGAGGCACGTTCTTGTACGTCCATCCTCATTGGATGAATCCTGTGGCTGTGGGCGGACCCTGGGCTGAACAAAATTAACCTCAATGAGCTGCAAACAGAGGGGGCGTGGCCAGACATCTGTCAATCATTCTGAACCATGAAGGAACAGTAACAGAATGGGGCTGTCAGAATTTAGCTCTTTGGAACGACCCCAGGATTTTCACCAGGCTGTTTGAAACCAGTTTTGTTGTAAATTTAACAAAATGTGACATTATTTCTAAAATGTATTTATTTTTAAGTTGTTATTTCTAAGTTGTTTATTTTAACATCTTTATTGTAAATGCCAGGAGGGAGGGCTCAGCCCTCCTAGCCCACTGATACCAGCCGTCACTGCGAACAAGTGTACAGGTAGCTAGAAAACGTGGCAACACAATGTCATTCACAAAGATGAAAAAAAGAAAAGTTGGCATTGAAAATTGTACATTCATCAGTGACTGGACAGATAAATGTTTTTAGGGAAACTGCTGAAGGCATGTTGCTCCCCCGTAGCATCAAAACAAGATAAATAAAAATAAAATTATGTAATAAAAACCAACAGCTGATGAGTTTGCTGTGAGCTTCAGAACTACAGATAAAAATAAAATAAAAACTTCTACTCACACATCAATCAGCTGCCCCAGAACCAGCTGAATCCCTTTATCGGACCTAGCAATGTCATTTGCTCTGTTTTCAACGTGGACCCAATCCACATTGATGATCTGAAAGGAGGACAAAGAACTGAATGAAAGGCTTCATTTCCATAATAAACTTACTGTCTCAGCTGTAAACGAATGTGGAACAGACCCGACAGGTACTGAGCCACATTATTCAAAGTGTCAGAACCAACCTGCTGCAGGTCCACAATGTTGACTCTTCCTGTAAGACACAGTAGCAGAACATCTCACAAACAAAACAATTCAGTAGATTTTATAATTATTGGACTATAATTTGGTGTGATTGTAGCTAAAGTCATTTACAATTTTTACTCTAAGTGCTGCTCTTTGTGCAAGACTCCTTGGGAGTCAACGTTGTTAACCTGTTAGCAAAATATCTCGACTCAGTGGACAGATTTAATAAACAAAATGCAATCATCTACATCCAAAAGATGGCTACACCAGTTTTACAGATACAGATCTGAGGCTTGACGTGGTGGAAGCTGAGAGAAGTGATGGGCAAATGATACGGAGGCTGCGCAGCTCATGTCCATCTTCTTGAAGCAGAGAGTCACAACACGTGTCGGAGCTGGTATCAAAACACCACCGTCATGTGACAAATGATGCTCGACGCTTCGGACATCATCACGGCTTCATTTCACTCTTCAATGGCTCAGAAAGCTTCAGTGTGTTGTGAGACAATCACAGTTTACAGATTCAAATGGTTTGATACGACAGAGCTATTTAACACATTATTGTTAAGAAATGCTGGATGGTGAGATCAAATTTTGGAAAGTCAATTTGGTGAAGTTGGGTGATTTTCAGTAAACTGCATTCAAAGGTCTGAGAACAATATTATTCCATTAAATAAAGAAAAAATTTAAGCAGACACTTCCTCCTCTGCTCCTTTCCCTGCTTGCTCTTTGTTTTGTGAATGTTTTTCAGAGCCCCTTTTTGTACCTTCTGAATTGTAAACGATGGATTTGGATTTCAGCTGCTCTCTCAACGTGAATGGTCAAAATTTTCTCAAGAAACAGGGTGAAGGGGAGCCCTCTTACCTCAACTGAAACATATGTGTATTTATAACTGGATTCTGCTGTTTGAAGCTGGTAGGAAACTGGATTATTGACAAATTCTAAAATGTCAGCAGCTGTTTAAGCTGCCTGGAATGTGTGGGTCGTGCTTGTCAACACTCAGACTGTGTACGAACTATCTGTGCAACTATCTTGCTACTTTGTCAGTGTTCACGAATGGTGGGAAGAAATTGATCTTGGAGAAGTTGTAAGCTTGACTTGGTGCAAGACATCACTATTCGGCTGTTTGGAACTGCCATGACGTGCTAGTGAGAATTTAAAAGCCGACGTGGAAATTAAGAGCTCAGCCTGACTCAAACCATTGTTGGAATCTTAATCTGGCTTCTGGCCTTGTCCCAATTTCTCCTGGATGTTATGAAAACAAGACACTCTGATCCACCCCCCTCCCCAAGCACATCTGTAGAAGGGTGCCTCTGATACACACTGTACCAATTTCCTGGAGAGTCCATGGACAACACTCATGCTTTCACTCCCCTTGTTGCCTTCCTGGTGCAGCCTCCTAGGAGATGCAAAGGCACCAAAGGGTTGCGCCACTCACCTGGTGGCTGTGCTGGGACACCCACCCCTGCCCACTCCAAATGCTTTTGTATTACGTCTATCCATGTTGCTTCTTTCTGTGCCGAGGTAATTTTTTTCGCTTCTTCACACAATGCCCTGTGTCCAAGGACACGGTGTGAGAGAGATTTTTTATACCTTTCTTTCATGTTTTTCTTTTATCCCTGAATGAAAGGTCACGCTGTTCCCTGCAGCTGCAGTCCTACAAATCTTGTCCCCCCCATGTATGTTGTCTTGGCAGGATGTACTGAAATGAAATTTCCCCTCGGGGATCAAAAGTATATTGAACTGAAGTGTGTCCTAAGACCTACAATTGATGATCCATAAACATGATTGTTAAATCATGGTTCTTCAACTGAGGCGGCTGTCTAAGCTGAAGCCCATATTGTCCAAAAATAACCTGGAGACAGTAATACATGCATTCATTACATCTAGGCTTGATTACTGCAATTCGCTCCTGTTTGGTATCAGTCAGACCTCCATTGCACGACTACAACTGGTCCAGAATGCAGCAGCCCGATTTTTAACCAGTACAGGCAAAAGAGAGCACATTACACCAGTTTTGGCCTCACTGCACCAGTTCACCTTCGAATCCAGTTCAAAATACTCATGTATGTCTACACATCACTGAACAGTCCCATCTCTCTGATCTGCTACAACTGTATGTCCCACCACGTTCCCTG